GACATGGCAGGGCGTGGCCATGGCACGACGTCGGACATGGCAGGACATGGCCATGGCAGGATGTAGGACATGACTGGACTAATGACATGGTAGGACGTTGAACGTGGCAGGGCGTGGCTATGGCACGGCATCAGACGTCGCAGGACATGGCAGGACGCAGGACATGGCAAGGCGTGGCCATGGCATAGCGTCGAACGTGGCAGGACATGGCCATGGAAGGACGCAGGGTATGGCAGGACGCAGGACATGGATGGACGCAGGGCATGGCACGGCGTCGGACGTGGAAGGACATTGCCATGATATGATGCAGGACGCAGGACATGGATGGACGCAGGGCATGGCACGGCGTCGGACGTGGAAGGACATTGCCATGATATGATGCAGGACGCAGGACATGGATGGACGCAGGGCATGGCACGGCGTCGGACGTGGAAGGACATTGCCATGATATGATGCAGGACGCAGGACATGGATGGACGCAGGGCATGGCACGGCGTCGGACGTGGAAGGACATTGCCATGATATGATGCAGGACGCAGGACATGGATGGACGCAGGGCATGGCACGGCGTCGGACGTGGAAGGACATTGCCATGATATGATGCAGGACGCAGGACATGGATGGACGCAGGGCATGGCACGGCGTCGGACGTGGAAGGACATTGCCATGATATGATGCAGGACGCAGGACATGGATGGACGCAGGGCATGGCACGGCGTCGGACGTGGAAGGACATTGCCATGATATGATGCAGGACGCAGGACATGGATGGACGCAGGGCATGGCACGGCGTCGGACGTGGAAGGACATTGCCATGATATGATGCAGGACGCAGGACATGGATGGACGCAGGGCATGGCACGGCGTCGGACGTGGAAGGACATTGCCATGATATGATGCAGGACGCAGGACATGGATGGACGCAGGGCATGGCACGGCGTCGGACGTGGAAGGACATTGCCATGATATGATGCAGGACGCAGGACATGGCAAGGCATGGCCATAGCATGGCATCGGACGTGGCAGGATATGGCCATGGCACTATGCAGGACATGACAGGACATAGTTGGGCGTGGTCGTACGCGGCAATGGCGGGACGTCGGACGTGGCAGGACATGGCCATGGCAGGACGTAGGGTATGGCAGGACGTAGGACATGGATGGACGCAGGACTTGGCACGGCGTCGGACGTGGAAGGACATTGCCATGGCATG